AACGTAACAAGGTTATACATAGCATTTATTAAATGTTTTACTCATGTAATAGCATAAGTGAACAAAACAACGAATATAAGTAAACATGATTTAAGACAATCGAATGTTTATTAAATTACAGACATAATCGGAAAGAAATTCAGGAAATCGGTCGGGAAATGTCGCGGCACCAATGTGACATCTTGGTTGTTCGGTGAATAGGCAATACTGTTAAATGAGTCATGTCCATTTTGATGGATAAAGTAAAAGCAGCCTAGTTGGTTGTTTCGTGTCGGACCTCAATCTTCTCAACAGTCATATCCGGATTCATCTTTGTAGCTTCCTGGATAGCCTGACTGAGTTCCTGTAAGAGCGCTTGGTTGTGAGCAACACCGTTATGAAAAACACTTACCGAGTCGTAGTCGATCGCAGCATCTGAATGAATGGTTACACGATGCTCAACATGAGTTTCGATAATGCCATCCTTCTCAGTTTTGTATGTGATAGTTTCAATGGTTCTGTTTCCACATGTAACAGTCTTAGAAGATACGAACTCGCCAAGAGCCTGGTTGAACAAAGATAGGTTCGAGTTATGGGTGTCTGAAGACTTACGTCGTTCTGATCTTCTTGAGCTTTGTCTTCGTAGGTTAATGTTCTAGTATGAGTTTCAACAATAGGTCCATCCTTCTGGAGTCCAAGAGGTGTCGTTTGTTCTCCAGTTCGTTCGACGGCAACAGGTTCCTAAACCAATATAAGCACAAGAAGCAAAAACAGTCAAACTTGGAAGCCGTCCTCTGGGACTATGTAGTTCTGGAAGGTTTGTTTCTGAACGGTATGCTTGACTTGTGATGTCTTGACGGTTCGGCTGCAAAGTTCACCTTCTTCTAGCAAAGCAAGTTGTTGACTCACGTTATTCTGTTTCCTTGCTCATCATATTCGACAGTTACATCGTCTGGTAGGATATTAGTTTCTTGCCAACTTGAAACAGTTAAGTGACGTTGCCCGCTCTCCTATAGAAACAAAGACTCATAAGAAGATTGATAGGGCTGGAGAGAGTGATCCAATATCCGTACGAAACAGAAAGTTCACAGATCTGGTGGTAAGCAAGCTGGTAGATCAGATCACTCTCCACAGGAAGCCGCATAACTAGATACGTAAAGGCTTTGGCAAAGTGTGACAGATTCAAGACCCTGACTAGAGAAGTACTGATGTACTCCTCTCTAAGGGAGAGATGAGAATTATGAAGCAGATATAGCAAGAGCAGATGAACGCAGCAGCGTCAAATGAGCGAGGGGTACTGAGGTTCAACACAAAAATACCAAACAAAACCGAATATACAGAAAGCTAGCATAAACTGAGACTGTGCTTACGAATCGCAGCAGATATTCTCGGGCTACGGATAGGATTATGATTGTTGTTAGAAGTATAAACAGAAATCCAGCATCGGTCGGACTTCAGTGAGGTTTGTTTCCATCAATGTACGATTTGAGAATCGATCGATAAACTAAGGAGGATCCCAGACAACGGCTAGTTGGATATGGGACTGTTCCGCACACATCGATGAAGCTTACTTAGTCTAGCATTGCTCAATATCAGCATTGAAATAGAACGTTGGTAAGTACTTAGTTATAGCTTTCAACAAATACGAAGCAATACGGAGCAGCAGGTGACTGATAGCAGTAGATTCGACTACTTTGGTACCTCGAAGGAGACCGGGAAAGGGGCCATGGCGCGCACAGTAAAAGTGCGCTCGGCATGCTCAACGTGTGGACTGCAGTGGTTGAGGCGTTCCGCCTCGGCCAAAGTAGTAGAAAGTGACTAAATGAAAAAAATGCTCTCCGGACCAGCTTCATCAATGACAAGAAATTTCCTTTTTTCTTGAATTTCGAAGTTGCCTTGTGCAGTGCTCACTGGCGGTTACGCTTGAGAGCAAACCGCAAGTCATACACACTATAGTTGGGCAACAAGTCAAGTCAAGTTCAAGTTGTTCAAAAAACTCAAAATTTACTTGACTTGATACTTACTTGTTTTCAAAAAATTCATGAAAGTCGACTTGATAATTGCTTGAAATATGTTCAAGTTACTTGTAATGAACTGGACTAATATCCAGGATGAGATGAAGGTATATGAATATGAGGGTTTCTTTGGTTGTTTTTGGATTCATATTGAAAATTATTTATTAAAACTTTTAAAAAACGTACGGAGCTTGGTAATTCGAAAAAAAAAGATTTGACTTGAGTAAAACTTGATTACTTGAGTGAAAGATCGACTTGAAATACTTGGACTTGAGTTCAGAAAGAACAAGTGAACTTGATCATGACTTGACATGAGTTTCACAAAAATAAGTTGACTTAGAGTTGACTAGTTACAATTTTTTACTTGTTTGCCCAAGTATAATATGTATCACACACGCACTCACAGCAACACACACGATAACACGGTGAGTGAAAACGGAAAAAAGAAAAAATTCTGAAAAAAACCACACACCGGATCGTTGGGGTTGAAACCCGACGACAAGCCTTCTCCTTTGAGGTGATACTTAAGTTCGTTCGTCTCACGGCGAACCACTTTGGCATCAGCAAGATGTGTGGAAGGACGATAACCATTACCTTGACCCTATACAAGAAAAACAAAATGAAAGTTATAAACCACACATGCT